CTCAAGTGGTAGAGCACTAGCCTTGAGCTGAAGAGCTGAGGGACAGTGCCCAGGCCCAGAGTTCAGGCCCCACGACCGGACCCAAAAATAAATAAATAAAAGTGAAAAGCACATTCTCCCACACCATCCCCCAGGTGTCTTCACCTGAATTCCTGGAAGTAGGCCCCACCTGGCTAAACCATTAACCTGTGCATTAAGTTTGCATAGTAGGTTCCCAGAACCAGGTAAGTATAAAACAAGGCATGTCTGGAAACTCCTTGAACTCTAGCTACCTGTAGCCTTACCCAACCCACAACCCTACTTAAAGTCCCTCCAACCCCTTTCCCCGCATTACCCCTCGGGTCTCCAGACCATGCCCAGGTCATTCTGGTGTCCCTCTTCAACTTGCACTAAAGTTGATCTGGTCTGTTGAGGTCAGTTATGTTTTCATACTTCTCTCCTTTGGAGTCTGTCCTTTTTCCCTAACAATCGTGGCTTGAACTTAGGACCTGGGCACTCTACCACTTCAGCTACAGCTCCACTTCAGGCCTTTATTTTCCTGGTTAACTGGAGATAATAGTATCAAATATTTTCCTGCTCTGGTCAGCTTCCTCAGCCTCCTGAATAGCTAGGATTACAGGTATGAGCAATCAAACCTGGCTAAAGTAATCAATATTTTTGAAGACTATACTCAGAAATGAGATGAAGGAAAATAGAAAATTTCAAGTAAAAACTGAAAATCAATTGCTCTGATTTAAAAAATCTGAGCAATTACGTCTACTGGCACCATCATCTCCTTTTAGATGTTAGGCTTTCCAAGACACAAAAAGGGCTATATCTATATCTTCTTTTCCTTTGAGATGTTAAGAGCTGCAAACTCTCCACCAATGGATAGAGACAGAAAATGGGAAGATATGTCTGACAAAAGGATGTTCTGAAACTCACCTATTTTCCCTGTGTTTTGGGTGGACCTAGATTAATATCCACGATTAACACAATAATAAACATGGTGTAGGCCCACCAACACATTCTCTGTAATGATTAAGAGATTGCTAAACTCCAAGACCACATATTGTTCTCCAGCTCAGAGTGAATATCCCAGATAACAACAATTTTCAGTCTAAATTCCCATGTCCTGTGTAGGAAGCAGGCAATGTTTCTCTTTTCCTTTCCTGTTTCCCTTACTTTATTGTGTTTTACTGACACACATCTTTGCTAAAACTTCTACCTTGTGAAACTATTTTTGTAAGATGTCTTGAAATGTTTTGCACTGTGGATGTTAAATCGAAGATGGAAAGCTGCAAGAACTTATTGTGTCTTTTCTTTCCTGCAGCAACATTTAAAAAATTTATATAAATCAAACTAAAACATCAATTAAGGCTTAATGCAGACATATAAGGTTGATTTACTAAACATTCTAAAAAGCATTTTCATTCACAGAATAAACATCCACCTGACTGTAATAAACATAATTTGACCATAATCAATATGCATTTGAACTCCAAATTTTGAGTGATATGTTAGTGTTCACTGATAACAACCAGTATAATTTTAACTTTGCATGGAAATTTTAGAATAAGTTGGTTTAAGTACAAAGAATCCTGATGGAGTTTTGACTGGTGCCGCCTTAAATCTATAACACTGTTGGGAGATTTGATGTTCTATTTTGAGCATCCCAATACACAAATAGTATGCCTCTAGATCTTTTAATCAACTTGCTAACCCAATTCTTACCTGAGCTTCCTGAACTTTTTGAAGCTCTGATTCAAAGTCTTCCCCATGTCCATTGTCCTCATCAGTATCACTGCATACACCACAAAAAAATGTAGGTGGAAGCTTCAATGTATCTGCTTTTGCCTTCTCTTCAACTGTTGGCTTCTTTTCCCAAACAATAACACACTCTTTCTCATTATCTGAAAATTCCATATAACACAATATTAGGTCCTCAACGTAATCTACAGAACGAGGTAACAAACCTTGTAAATGTGAATGGAGAACAAGGACCAAAAGACCAGTATTTTGTTTCAACTAACACTATTTTTAGTGGTACTTGGGTATGAACTCAGGGGTTTGTACTTACAGAAAGGCATTCTACTACTCTGGCCACACCTGAAACCCTTCTCTGCCTTATTTATTTTTCAGATAGGGTTTTGCTTTATTGTGACCAGGGCTATATTTGGACTACAGTGTTCCTACCAATGCCTCCCAGGAAGCTGGGATTACAAGAATGTACCACCATACATGGCTTGTGTGTTATGATGAAGTGTTGCCAGGGCTGGCCTAAAATCAGTATCTTCCTGATCTCTACTTTCTGAATAGCTGGGATTATTTTAAAATATTTCAAATCATCATGTCTATATTTCATAAATACTCAGAGTAAAGATTATACTAGATTATACTGAATTACTTATTTAGACTGAACATACCTGTTAGATTTTCTTCCAATGGTCTAAATTTTTCTGAATCATCCAGATAGAGCTTTCCATTAAGTTTCTTGACGGCCATTTCAAAATCTTCATCTTAAAGTACAATTGAGTTTTAATAAGTAAATTTTAGTTTTAAAGTACAACTGATTTGAATAAATAAATTTTATTAAGTTTTGAAGGGTTTCCTAGTCATAAACCTAGGGATCATCTGCAACTTGATTCTTTCACTCTCCACATTAAGAAGCAGCCTATTTTGCCATTTCCATACCACTTATTCCTTCCTGTTAGAACTTGAACTTGTGTTCTCCTCATGTGCTCTGCTAACATTTCTGCACAGCTACCAACCTCTTCATCTCACAAATTAATGTTTTAAAGCACTATCAAACTCATCTTACTGGAATCTTAGCACATGTGTTAAGTGCCCCACCTAAGAACTCTGATATGGCATATAAAGTATTCTATTATCAAACTGCCTCGCTTTTTCTTCACCATTAAAATTTGTAGACAATCATGACTACTTTCAATTCCATTAGAACATCTACCGGGCACATGACAGCCACCCTAAAAAGGGCTTAATGACCTGACATTTTTCAATTATTACATCCATTGACTATTACATAAACATTTAGGGCAAATATTTAACTATAAGGATATTAGTTACAAGTTCTAAAAAGCTCAGGTTTAAATAAACACCTTTCCTAACTGTTAAGATCCATAGCAAAGAGTGGATTTAAATAACAAAAGATTTACCATCTTCTTCCTCTTCACTAACATAATCTGGTCTATTCTTATAGCAGAAGAAAGTTGGAGGAAGTTTAAGTTTGGTTGCAAGAGCTTTTTGCTCAGGAGTTGGGGTTAGTTCATAGACAATAAGAACATCATCATCATCTGAGGGAGGATCTGCAGGTTTTTTCTTCTCTTTTGCTGTAACACAAGGAAAAACATGAAAAACCAGAAGCTATAAGGTTACTACTGAGTTCATTAGCCAACTGAAAATAAGTTCTATAAAACTTATCAATTAAAAGGACATACTGATTTTTTAAAATTCCATACTTTCACACAAAGCTTTATAATATTAATTAGAATTACCAGTCTAATTTAGTATTCTACCAAAACTCAGTAAAGAACACAAATTTTTGACCCCAAAATAATATAAATCTTATTTTTATTACTCACAAAAAAGAACTGTGGCTAATTTCTATAGTTTATAAAGTGCTACCACAATCATATTTAGAATACTATAAAATATATAGTTCACAGCAAAACATCCATGCATTTCAAACAACTGAAAAATAAACTTAAGTTATAAGCAAAGATTAGTATACTTATGAAACTAATCCAAAATCAACCTTGATTAGTTCATATAAGAAAACTGCTACAGATGACACAGTAATTGGAACCTCATGCAGTTTTGCAGATTTCCAAATGTAATACTATGCAAAATTAAGCCAGACTCTCATCCTATGGGTAATTCTGTAAGAATCTGAGAAGATATCTATGACCAAAAACATCTTTCTTCACTCTTTCCCATTCCTTACCAATAAAAAGGGCAAAAAATTAGGAGAAAGGGAATTTTATATACCACCTGTTAGATCTATTCAGAATTTCTAGCCATATGCTAGTGGCTCACCCCCATAATCCTAGCTACTCAGGAGGCTGAGCTCTGAGGATCATGGTTCAAAGCTATCCCTGGTAGGAAAGTCCATGAGGGTCTTATTTCCAGCTAACCACCAAAAAGCTAGAAGTGGAGCTGTAGTTCAAGTGGTAGAGTGCTAGCCTTGAGCACAAAAGCTCAGAGAGACAGTGCCCATTCTTGGGGCTTATACAAGAATGGCACCAAAAAAAAAAAAAGTTAATCAATTTTAAAAAATTAAAAAATAACAACAGTAATTTCTATCCTAAAGGATCTTTAAGTTTAAAATAATCCAGTCACGAAGCATGCTATGTACCAAGAAGAGTTAGGAGAACAATTCTCTAGAACAACACTGTCTAAGATAATAGCCTTGTCATATATGCATGGCTATTTAACACTTTTAAAAGAGGGCTAAACATATTGAGATGTAAGTGTAAATAAATACATTGGAGTCTAAAGACTTGGAATGAAAAAAATGTGAATACTTCAACAGTTTTTTATATTGATTAAAAGTTGAGATGATATCTTGCATATGTAGATTAATATAATGTTAAAATTGGTTTCACATTAAACTGGTATTTTATACGTATGAAACAAATCAAATACATTAAAAATTTTTTTATGCTGGGCGCTGGTGGCTCACACCTGTAATCCTAGGAGGCTGAGATAAAGGATCGTGGTTCAAAGCCAGCCCAGGCAGGAAAATCCAAGAGACTCTTTTTTTTTTTTTTGTCGGTAGTGGGGCTTGAACTCTGGGCCTGGGCGCTGTCCCTCAGCTCTTCAGCTCAAGGCGAGTGCTCTACCACTTAAGCTACAGCACCACTTCCGGTTTTCTGGTGGTTTTATTGGAGATAGGAGTCTCACGGTCTCTCCTGCCCGGGCTGGCTTTGAACCGCGATCCTCAGATCTCAGCCTCCTGAGTAGCTAGGATTACAGGCGTGAGCCACCAGCGCCCGGCAGGAAAATCCAAGAGACTCTTATCTCCAACTAACCAACAGAAAACCAGAGTGGCATTGTGGCTCAAGAGGTGGGTGCTTGCCTTGAGCTAAAGAGCTAAGGGATAGCACCCAGAGTTAAGCCCCACAATCAACAACAACAAAAATAAATAAATTTCATGTTTTTCTTTATACCATCTGTGTCTTTTTTTTTCCTTTTCTATTTTTCCTTTCTTTTTTTTCCTTTTCTTCATCTGTGCCTTTTTATATTTTATTTTGTTTCACTTTGGGCCAGTCCTGGGGCTTGAACTCAGGGTGTGGGCACTGTCCCTGAACTACTTTTTGCTCAAGGCTGCTGTTCTATCACTTAAGCCACAGCTCTACTTCTGGCTTTCTAGTTGTTAACTGGAGAGAAGAGTCTACTGGACTTCGCTGCCTGGGCTGGCTTTGAACTATGATCCTCAGATCTCAGCCTCCTAAGTAAATAGAATTACAGTCATGAGCCACAGTCATCCAGACATATTTGATGTTTCGTGTAGCTACTATAAATGTTTTGATTACATACACAAGTCATGTTATTTCTCTTGGATAAGATACTGCAACCAAGAACTAGAGCTGATGCTTTTCAAAGGATAAACATGCCCTTCTCCATTATCAACAAAAAACTAAATTTTCTGGCTAGGGACACTAATGGGGTACTACAACAGAGACATATTAAGTCAGACCTCTCTAAACCTCAGTTTTTCCATGTCTACAGTTTTCAAGTTTATAGTCCTTTAGGACTATGATACTATCAAATTCCAAACTAAACCTCTGTTTTGCAGTAACACATTAATAAACTAGTCATAATCCAAGGGATTCTTAGAGTGCACAGAAATTGTACAAGTATATATACATTTTTCTATTGTGTCCATATAATTTACCAAAGATTGCATTTTCAAGAATCAAAGTTTCTAAGAGCTTCCTTGGCTAGTAGTAATTGGTGTAATTTAAAAATAAAGATCCCAGTACCAGTGGCTGTAATCCTATTCTAGAAGATGAGATCTGAGTTCAAGTTTCAAAGCCAGCCCAGACAGAAAAGTCTGTAGACTCCACCTCCAATTAACCACCAGAGAGCCACCAACTGTAAGCCAAGAAAGCCAAAGGAAAAGCTAAAAGCCCTGAGTTCAAGCCCCAAAACTGGCTCTAAAAAAGTATCAAGGGGCCCACAAAAAAAAATCAGGAACTATCACCCTACTGCTGTACTTGCTCAGCATACTTAGTATGTGATACCAGATGATGATTTTAAGTATGAAGGTGTTTAAGAGATTCCACTTTCCTGTTGTTCCAGTCTAGTAGAAATACTTAAAACAAAAAAAAATCTGTACTACCTATATAATATACAAGCTACACAATGATGGTTGTTAAAAATGCAAATTCACTATTTTTCTAAACCATATACAAAAAGAAATACCTATAAGGATCCAGAACTAGCCGGGCACTGGTGGCTCACGCCTGTAATCCTAGCTACTCAGGAGGCTGAGGTCTGAGGATCATGGTTCAAAAGCCAGCCTAGGCAGGAAAGTTTGTGAATCTTATCTCCAATAAACCACTCAGAAAACTGGAAGTGGCACTGTGGCTCAAGTGGCAGAGCACTCGCCTTGAGCTGAAGAGCTGAGGGACAGTGCCCAGGCCCAAAGTTCAAGCCCCATGACCACAAAAAAAAGGTGGGGAAGGATCCAAAACAATGTAACAATATACTCTGCTGCCATCATGTTTAAATATTGGCAGATATTAGCGGCTAAAGACAAGAGTTAGATAAAACATAGGTCTTCATTTAAGCAGAGTTGTAAACAACAAAGCAATAAAGCACAGAGCAGAAAAAAATCCAAAATATGCAGTAATGAGAAAACATAGCATTTGCTTTTTTAATAAAATTACTTAAGGGTGTTCTACAACCAATGAAAAGGTTCGGTGCTTAAAATGACATTCTTTAACATGCATACTGTAGTGTTAAATACTTAATTTCATACAGCCACAGTTATTTTGCTAAGGACTACCAGCTGCTAGTTGCCTCATACTAAGAATGCTAATTCTATACCTTCACTTTCAGGCTGTGAGGATGGGGTGCTGGTCCAAAAGGCCATTGGATTGGATTTAAAAAGGTTAAAATTAAATCCTAGAAAATAAAGAGTGTTTCACTTTTGAACATCCTAAAGGAAACAAAGTGAATATGACTTTAAAATATAAAACTAGAATTATACCAATCTGCTTGGCTCATATATTCCATTTATTCCTCTGGTATCATTTTTTGATCATTTAACAAATAGTGCCTTAGTACTATGGACATCTTAACACTACATCCTTGGAGTGACAAGGAAGGAACACTGAAGAATAACCACCTAAAAAACTTGAACTAATGATCATAATTTAAGTATAGTATGTATACCTGTGCAATACTGGGCTCTTCTCTACTTTTTCATAATATGAATATTTTGTAATATTGAAACCTCTTATACAACTTACACAGCATCTATTATTTGTTGTATAGTTACAGGTAAATTTATTTAGAGAGGAGCAAGTCCACTCAAATACTTGTTGGGTGTTCATACATCCATGTGTATGACTAACATCAGAATCCTATATGGAATCTGCATCAAAATGAACATTAAAACAAAAAGGGGCTTGGGCCTAACTGAAGACTTACCCTTTTCTGGTGGTTTAAACGTGTAAGTAGTTGAAGACTCTTCTTTTGGAAAGGAAACAAAGAGATTTTTGACTCTGCCATCTGAATATTGTTGCATATCAGAGTTCTGTGACTGTTCACATTTGTTAGGCTCCATTTTAAATTCAGATCCATTCTGGACTACTGAACCAGTTTCACTATTCTTCAAAGGTGCATTAAAACTAAATCCAAACAAAGACCCAGTGGCTGAACTGTTGCCAAATGCAAATGGTTTTGTCTTTTCACTACTAAAAATGCTTTTAACAGACTCTGAGCCAAATACAAACTTTGGAGGAGAAACTACTGCTTTTGGTGTTGTTTCAGTTGTACTAGACACTTCTCCAACTTCTGAAGTTGTATCTGCTACGTCGTCACTCTGAATTAAATCTGTCCTCTCTCTTGTGGTTTCTTCTAAAACAGCTACAGCAATTTTGCCACATGGGGACTCTCTAGGAGTGCCTGAACGAGAAACATGAGGTGTTATCAAAAAATTTTTCTCTTGGGCTGTTTTTGCTTCATCAAATACTTTCTTAAATGAGTCTGCGACATCCTGTAGTTTAAAACGGACAGCTAAATGTTCTACTTTTCGTTCTCCATCTGCAAAATCACATGCAGTCCATACCCACACTCTCTCTGTCCCTTTCATATTTTGCAAAGTCATGTCTGGAGTTATTCTGTGATTGGCGCAAAGTTTTAATACCTGATCTCTTCTCATCACTATGCGAACCTGCTTATTGTCATAATTCTGTAAGATCTTTATATCACCAATACCTCTTTCTTTCCATTGAGCAACATCTTTATCATATCTATAGAGTTTTGCTCTGTGACTAAAAACAATTTGTTCATTTTCCTCACCACTGGATACTTCAACTAGATCAGGTAAAGGTACAACAGGTTCAAAGTACTGCCCATCTCGCTCTTCTTCTTGAGTAACATCAGATTCTTCATCAGTGCCAATTGAAGTCCCACTCTGATTCAACTTGGCAGGAGACTTAGATGGACTCAAAGCAGATTTAAAGCTAAAGTTAAACCCTGTTGTAGACTCACCAAAGCGGAAGAGGTTTTTTCTCACAGGGCTGTTTGCCAATGGAGAAGCATGTACTGAACTACTGCTTACGCTGTCATCCAAAGCATCTTCCCTTAAGTCATAGTTATCCCATTCTAAAGTGGGCCCAGTGTTTTCAGGATTTGGCTTGACTGCTGTGTCTGAAGAAGCACTGGTGGTGCCTGCACCTGAATTCTGACTCTCCTCATCGGTGACTTTTGTTTGATCATTTGTCAAAAATGTTTTGAAATCTTTCAGTCCACTCTTCATTTCCTCAGCTCTCTGAATTAACTTGGCAGCTCTGCCAGTATCTACAAGTTTATGGGGTGTTTGAAGTGGAATATCCAATAGAAGTCGCTGGCATTCTTCAAATTTCTGCTTGAATTCTTCAGCTAGCTCTGGTGTCTTAAATTTTGCTGCCAGCTGCTCCAGTTTGGCATCACCATCAGAAAAATCACTAGCTAGCCACATCCATGCTCTATCTGACCCAGAAAGAGGCTTCAGGTTCATTGTAGTTGTTATCCAATGATTGGCACATACTTTTAATACTTGTTCTCTTCGCATTAGCATCCTTAGTTTGCCATTGACTTCATTTTTGAGAATTTTTAAGTTCCCCAAACCCCTTTCTTTCCACTGACTTATTTCAGCATCAAATCTAAATAATTTTACCCGCTGTGAATACAGAACTTTTTCATCTTCTTCTCCTGTCACAAGTTCTACTTTTTCAGGCATTTGTACTACAGGTTCAAAATGGATGTCATCATTGTCCTCAGTCTTATAGGCATCATCATCTTTCTCGAGGTCAGCAGAAGTGTTGGCTTTGTCAGACACTTTACCACTTTGTGACGAGAATAATTTCTCTCCTGCACCTGAAAATCCTTTGAAATTAGGGTCTTTCTTGCCAAATTGAAATCCTTCTCCAGAAGTTGATTTTGCCAGATCTGCAAAGGTAAAAGTGCTACTTGTTTGACCAAATATCACACCACTACCATTCTTCTGGTTACTAACATCCTGAGCCTGAAAACCAGCATCATTTTCAGGAGACTTTTCACTCTTCTTCTCTTGACTTCCCTGTTCCTGAATACCAAATTTAAAACCATCAGCAGATGCAGGAATGGAAAAACTAAATCCTTCTTTTATTGACTTAAATTCTGTATTAGAAGAACCCTGAAGTGAAAATGAAGGTGTACTTTCTTGATCCACATGCCCAAATTTAATTCCTTGTTTTGAAATGCCAAATTTAAAAGTTCCCACCTGACCTCCAGAAGATTCACTTAACTTTGTTTTTGAGCCCATTGTGAAGGCTGAAGGAGCTTCTGCAATAGGTTTATGAGTTGGTTTGGAGGCATCACAAGCCACACACTTTAAGGAAGAACTCTCATTTTGTACAAAGCAAACACTACAATCCCACTGTCCTTCCTTTTTGGTGAACATTCCTTCAAATCCATTCTTTGTGGATTTGCTTATCTCTGAAGAGGCAGGAAGTGAAGGCGTAGACTGATTTTGTTTACTTGGATTCTGACAAGCAATACAATGGGTAGCACTTGCTTCATTTCTTACTAAACATGAACTACAATCCCACTGTCCTTCCTTCTTGGTGAATATTCCTTCAAACCCACTCTTTGGAGCCTTGCTTATCTCTGAAGTACCAAATTTGAAAGAGGTAGAAGCTGGAACAGCAGAAGATAAAGGTACTGGTTGTGCAGGATTCTGACAAGCAACACATTGAGTAGCATTTGCTTCATTTCGCACTGCACATGTACTACAATCCCACTGTCCTTCCTTCTTAGTGAACATTCCATCAAACCCACTCTTTGGAGTTTTACTTATCTCTGACGTACCAAACTTAAAAGAGGCTGATGCTGAAACTGAAGGAGTAGGTAGATTCTGAGTTCTTAGATTCTGACAGGCAACACATTTTGTAGCACTTCCTTCATTTTGTACCAGGCATTCTCTGCAATCCCAGTGCCCTTCCTTTGTAGAAAACACAGATCTGATATCACTGTTACCAGACTTAGAAAGATCTCCCTGACCAAATTTAAAAGAAGCTTGAACAAATGAAGATCCACTTTTGTTAGCAGACTTTGTGTTTTGACATGCAATGCATTTAGATACAGCAGGTTCATTTCTTACTAAACAAATACTGCAATCCCAGTGACCTTCTTTCTTTGCAGTTATTAATGCAAATCTATCTTGAGCATTTTCTGGGCCAGTTTTAGAAGCAGAACCAGTTTCTACCAATGGTTGGCCTAGGAGCTCTTTACTGCTTGGGTTTATATTTTGGCAGGATATACACTTCTTAGCAGTTGCAGCATTCCTTAATGAGCAGCTATTACAATGCCACCAAGACCCTTCTTTCTTTGCAACTTGAAATTCAAAATTTACATTCCCAGCATCAGACTTACAAATATCCTTATCATGAGTTGTAGATTCTTTTGCAATTCTGACAGTCTGATTTGATGGGATGGCTACATTTGTTCCAGAGGATTTTAAAATGCTCTGGGCCTCTTCAAATTTGCACTTAAAAAGTGCTGCCTCCTCAGGAGTTTTGAATCTAATTGCAAGCTGTTCTGGTTTTGGCAACTCATCTGCATAATCAAGGGCATGCCATACAAAAGACTTGTCTGATCCAGCATTTGGTGTCAGTTTCATATCAGGACTGATATAATGGTTTGCACAAATTTTTAATACTTGCTCTCGTCTCATTAGAAGGCGAATTTTACCAGATGTTTTATGCCTTAGTATTTTTACATTGCCTATCCCACGCTCCTTCCATTCTTTGGATTCTCCATCAAAACGAAATAACTTTGCACGGTTGCAAAAGAATTCTTCTTCATCTTCCTCACCAGTTTTCACCTCAATCTTATCAGGAAGAGGTACCACAGGCTCAAAGTGAGGGCCATCATCATCCTCATCTCCATGGGCACTTCCTCCATCTGTTTCATGACTTTTATTTGCCAACTCTGGAGCAGGTGTTCCAAATATAGATTTCCCTGGACCATGGAAAGTAAACATTTCATCATTTCGACGAAAACCAGAATTCTTCTGCTGATTTGGCCCCATGTTTTCTGTAAATGAGATTCCAGATACATTTTTACTTCCAAAATTAAATGTATTTCGAGGCCCAATACTTTGACCAGGAATTGCTTTTGGTCCACTATAGCCATCTCCTTGCAAAGGTTTATCTGAAGTCAGGAGACCTAAAAGGCTTTCACTGTTACTGTAAGTAGGAGGAGGAGGATGTGTTACAACCTGTGGTGAAGAAAATGTAAAGTCACCGTCATTTGATTTGAAGTTTGAGTTAAATTTAAAAGGAGTTGGCTGTGTTGTATGTGTTGCTGTTGTCAAAGATGGCCTTAATCCTTCACCCGGCATGGGCTGAACAAAATTAGTTTTTCCAAATTCTATAACCTTGGATTCTGCAGATCTTGTAGCATGAGCTGCAACTAGAGGTTTAGTGAAATATCCTGGTTCTGGCAATGGAGGGTTTGTGCTTGTTTGTTGAACATTATAATTGAAGTAGTCATCACCCCTGGGTGATAGAATTCCTGTTGCAGGAGACTCAAAACGCAATGGAGGACCATACAGCTCCTGTGAGAACATACAAGCTGATGAGCTTTGCACTGGTGGTGTGTGCATTTGCTGTGAATAGGCATAAATATGTTGCTGGGGTGGAAGCCTATTCATGCCATAAACTGGACCCTAAAAGAAAAAAATTAAAATATTTTGTAGATTGCTGAAAAAACTAGATAGAAATCAATTCTCACAAACTTCAAACTGAGTGTTAAATAAAAGAAAGAGAACATTAGGATATTTACCATTAAGAAGGTAACGCCACAAAAATGCCTGCATACATACTTAGCATATAATGGAAATTAACTGATATAGCATCATCTTTTATTGATGAACAATTTATCAAATGATATTAACAGTGATGAACATTAACAATTATTGAGCATTTATTAATATGCCTAATAGGCACTGTTATAAACAGTTTAATACACTCAAAAATACTATGTAAGGTACTTTCTTCATTTTACGTATGAAGTGTATGACATACAGTTTCTCTTTAAGCCCTCATATTCAACTCCTGTTGTAATACCAGGTGTTTAATCACCAGTTACTAAATACACTAGGCCTAGATTTACCAAATAATCATTCAGCAAGGAAATTATACTTGTATTTCTATCAAAACTGAATGATAATACCACTGACAACATTACTACTCCCATCTTTTAAAATATCGAATGTTTATACCTATTTTAGCAACACTAAAATAATGTCATTAACTTCTGTATCTGGAAATGAACTTGAAATAACTGTGTCATGAGCTTTTAATACCTTTTAATACTAAACTACTTTCTTGAATTTCTTTAAAGAAGCCTAAACAATCAAAAGTGAAATAATGCCATGGCTCAAGTAGTAAATCATCTGCCTAGCAAGCTTCAGGCTGTAGTACAAACCACAGTACTAGCAAAAGACAAAATAAAATAAGCAAAAGTTATAAATGCATAAATTATTCCTTTGTTACCTTTGGAGGAGTAACATTGGCTGCTGGTCTGAGAAGATACTGGGAATTATATGCTGGTGACTGGCTATAGTATACTGAAGGACCAGTAGTTGCAACTGAAGGAAAAAGAGGAAAATGAAGAAAACATTGTTAATGTTCCTACAGTTAAGGCTATGTAGGCAAGAATACAAATACAATAGTAATAAAAATCAAAGATGATTTGACTGCATGTAATTTTTTAAATTTTTTATATGCCAAAATATACCATGAAGGACATCAAGTGATAAAACAGAAGAAAAAAACTGGTAAATATGGCACAAAAATCAAGAAAGTAGCACTGCTATGGTAAAGAACAAGCACTTAACAATTATTTAGAAAGGAAAGGAGAAGGGAGTAGAATTTCCAATCTTCCAAAAAAGATAAAAAAGATGTAAAAGTAAGATCACATTCAACATTAGAAATAATGAAAATACAAGTAACAAAGGATTTAAGAACCAATCTACCGGGGCTGGGAAGGTGGCTCAGTGGTAGAGTGCTTGCCTTGCATGCATGAGGCCCTGGTTCGATTCCTCAGCACCACATAAGCAAAGAGAAAAAAAGCCGGAAGTGGCATTGTGGCTTAAGTGGTAGAGCGCTAGCCTTGAGCTGGCCCCACGACCGGACCCAAAAAAAAAAAAAGAACCAATCTACCTTATGCGCTCAAGGTCATAAAGCCAGTCTCAAAAAACTCCAAGAAGGTGCTGGGAAGGTGGCTCAGTTGTAGAGTGGTTGCCTTGCATGCATGAGGCCCTGGGTTTGATTCCTCAGCACTACATCAGCAGAAAAAGACTGAAGTGGTACTGTGGCTCAAGTGGTAGCGCTAGCCTTGAGCTGAAGAGCTGAGGGACAGCACCCAGGCCCCAGAGTTCAAGCCCCACAAGCAATAAAAAACAAAACAAAATACATTCTCTCACTTTTGCCAGGCGCCTGTAGTCCTAGCTACTCAGGAGACTGAGATCTGGGGATCGCGGGTCAAAGACAGCTCAGGCAGGAAAGTCCGTGAAACTCTTATCTCCAATAAACCACCAGAAAACCAGAAGTGGCACTGTGGCTCAAGCAGTAGAGTGCTTGCCTTGAGCTGAAGAGCAAGGACAGCACCCAAGCCCAGAGTTCAAGCCCCACGACCGACAAAAAAAAAAAAAAAAAAACTCCAAGAAAGGATTCATTTTGTTTTGGGTCCAGTCATGGGGCCTGAACTCAGGGCCTGAGAGCTGTCCCTCAGCTCTTCAGCTCAAGGCTAGCACTCTACCACTTCAGCCACAGCGCCACTTCCGGCTTTTTTTTTCTGCTTATGTGGTGCTGAGGAATCGAACCCAGGGCCTCATGCATGCAAGGCAAGCACTCTACCACTAAGCCACCTTCCCAGCCCAAAGGATTCATTTTGTAAACTCAACTTACAAATAATGTTTATATTGGAAAGATCTGACAAACTAATAAAAAGAGTCTCACATGTAACATAGTTCCTTGGCTTAAAATACATTCTCTCTCCCAAGGTTGATGTTCAATATGTGTTCAACCTGTTTTATCCAGAAATCAAATAACTAAAAGGTAATCATACCTTTTATGCAGGCATATATATGCTTTATGAGTTTTATCAGAAAACAATCAAAAGACCTTTTATGTCTATATTTGAAAGAAGAAATGGAATTGTGACTTAAGACATATCAAACAATCCATTCTGCAAAAGTACTTGAAAAAGCCCAAGTCTGAATTTGGAAACCTAATGGAAAAACCTGTTAAGAAGAGTCAGTTTAGAATTATTATGAGGAAGAAATAGGCATAAAACCTAGAATAAGCTGGTGCCTATAATCTTAAAGTCACTTTATCAGTGACTAGTAATGCACTAAGGAGGAAAAAGTTCTTAAGAGTTCTCTACTTATAAAAATCTAATAAAAAACACCACTACATGAACACTTCAGAATAAATGTAAGAGATTATAGTGTTACCCATACTATATATACAAAAATAAAAACAGCATTTTTGTTCTTACAAATGGTTAAACAGTCAATACGAAGCAAAAGTACAAAGATGGCACTATCAGATTACTAAATGAAAGTGAAGACTCAATTATTTTTTAAATGCACAATGGGGCTCTGAGTATAGCTTAGTAGTACTCACTATATAGCAACACAAAAAAATAAGATAATGTAATAAGTAAGGCAAAGTAATAAAATAAGATGCCTGAAATCTAGACGTATGTTCACAGAATAACTTATAATAGGAATATTAGAATCAAAAATAAGGGAATAACAGAATTGACAGTACTTGGAAATGGCACTGTGGCTCAAGTAGTAGAGCACTACCCTTGAGTACAAAATGACTCAGGTGTCCCTGAGCCTAGGCACTGAGTTAAATCCCCGAAAAAAAAGAACTGACAGTTCTTCCACATGAGTGCATACCATATATTCATTAAAAGCATCTTCAGAGAGTTAATTTTTAGTCTCAGAACATTTATATGCTTACATTATAAAGCAGAATAATTCATCTATACACACCATAGTAACAACCTCATAAAAATATCTGATGTTAAGCAAAGATAAAAGCATTGTCCAACATTTGAGTATTTACTATGAACTTACCTGTGTTTATAAAAACACAAGAACAAAAATTAAAGAGACTTAAGCTGTCTTTCCTTTCAGTACTACAAAGTTACTAAGTTATTTTGTGATCCTATCACTAAAGCTGTTTGGAGTTTCCAGTCTTCTCAACTGTAAATGAGGATATGCTGCTCTTTACATAATTCCAAGAATAAAATGAGACACTGTGAATACTGTGCTTCTATATTAACACAACAAGCAAAAGACTTTATGCCTATACACAGAAGAAATGAAAATTGTGAGCCAAGAGGTGCCAAATGACATTTTCTAGGCACTTTAAAAAAAAACAAAAACAGGGCTGGGATGTAGCTCAGTGGCAAAGCGCTTGTCTAGCAAGTGCAACATCCTGGGTTCGATCCCCAGTACCAAAGAAGAAAAGACAAAACAAATACAGTTTAAAAAAAAAAAAAAAGCACTAGTAAGCACTAGTAAGCTAGTCTATTTGTCCTCTACACAAGCTCCAGAAAATGCACAGTAGTTTTAATTAAGCAAGGCCTGAATTTTGAACATACACATTTATGACTATGACATTTAGTAAGTTTGACTTCACCAAAATGGTATTAAAAAGACTTTGTCACAAGAGGACAACAGAGTTGTTTTAAGAATGGTCCTATGATGTAGCACACAAAGGTACCCATTTAAGCAAGATCTTGTCATTCTTGGGTACAGAAATGTTATGATTTCAGAATATTTGCATGTACATGAGATGTCTTGGGAGTGGGCCATATGAAAACACAAAATTCATTCATGTAGCATTTGTGTAGCCTTAGATACACAACCTGAAAGCTTTTTTTCATTTTAGAAAGGTCTTGTTACATAGCACAGTCTGTCCTCAAACTCACAATCTTCCCACACAGCTCCCCAAGCACTGGGATTAGAAGTGTGCATTACTATGCCTGACCTTAAGCTAAAAGTAATTTTACATAGTATTTTTAGTACACATATATTTTAACTAACATTTTATATAAAGGTTAAGATTTTCCACTTGTGGCATCATGAAAGCATTTCAGGTTGGGAAGATTTCAAATCTCAGGTTATCAGAGTAGCCGATGCTCTACCTGTATTATTTCATGGAAAAGAAATTTGTTTTATATATATTATCATTATTTCTGGCCACTTGGGGACAATGTATCATACAGGCAAGTAGCTTTAAAGACTAATAGAGTTTGAATCCCAACTACCAATACTAGTTATAAAACAGTAACAAATACATTACCTAACCTTATCTTTTTAAATTCATGCTTACTAGACAAGTGCTTTTGAGCCACACCTATAAGCCTAAAGTTATCTAACCCTTAACCCCTTTCGTCATCTATAAAATTCCCCTTTCCTCATCTATAAAATTCAAACTAATAATGGTACTTACCACCCTGAGTTATTGTAATTAAATAACATACTCAAACACTTCTGCATAGACTCAACCCACATAAACCCTGCTAGCAACCTTGATTCATTAGGTGTACTGTAATAAATACTAAAACATTCCCACACCTATCTACAAATTCACTCATAGCAATTAGGTGAGGCAAGATTACCTTCATTTTTAGGTAAAATTACGTATCTAGTACAACTTGAAAACTCATGCTTTTGTTATTAGAGTTCTTGATTATAGCCACTCTAACTGGGGTGAGGTGGAATCTCAATGCTGTTTTGATTTACATTTCTTTTATGGCTAGGGAGGTTGAGCATTTTTTTTCATGTGTCTATTGGTCATCCTTCTTTCCTCTTCAGAGAAGTTTCTCGGTAAGTCTTTAGTCCACTTATTTATTGAGCAACTGTTTCTTTGAGGATTTGTGGTTGGGGGATTTAATTTTTTGCGTTCCAGGTATATTTTAGATATGAGGCCCTTGTCTGTTGTATGACTAGTGAAGATCTTCTCCCAATCCGTGGGCTTTTTTTTTTTTTTGGGGGGGGGGGGGGGGTCCAGTCCTGGGTCCTGAACTCTGAGCCTAGGCGCTGTCCCTCAGCTCTTCAGCTCAAGGCTAGCGCACTACCACTTGAGTCACGGCGCCACTTCCGGCTTTTTTTTTTTGCTTATGTGGTGCTGAGGAATCAAACCCAGGGCCTCATGCATGCAAGACAAGCACTCTACCACTGAGCCACCTCCCAGCCCCAATCCGTGGGCTTTCTATTGATCTTGGGAGTTATGTCCTTTGCCATGCAGAAGCTCTGCAATTTCATGCAATCCCATTTGTCCATTTGTTGTGTTTCTGGGTCTCTATTAAGAAAATTTTGGCCTGTACCAAGGAGACCTAGGGTTTCTCCTATTCCTTCCTGTAATATTTTCAGAGTGTCTGCTTTGACTCCAAGGTCTTTGATCCATTTGGAGTTGATTCTGGTGCAGGGAGATATATAAGGTTCTAGCTTTAGTTTTCTACAAGTGATTAACCAATTTTGCCAGCACCATTTACTAAAGAGGCTCTTTCTTCCATTCTAAGTATTCAGATGTTTTTTTCTTTCTTGCAATTATTTCTAACGTATTTACAACATGATTTCTTTGTTGCTTTGTATGTTCCTCCCCCACAGTATAACCCCTGCTTTCATTGTATTTGATGTTGGTATAATTTGTGGAGGGGAAGGGAAAAAACAAATTGTTTAAATAGGGATACAGGTGGACCCATTGCAACAATGAGATATATAAGACATTATGTCGATAAACAAACTTTACAACTTTTGGTGGGGGGGGAATGGAGGGGATGGGAAGGGGAAACAGAGGAGGCAACAATGTTTGATAAGAAATGCACTCATTACCTTGCCCATGTAATTGTAACCGCTCTGTACAGTATTTTCACAACTAAAAAAAAAAAAACCTCATGCTTTTTTTCCTTCTGATATTTCAAGTAAGATTAACTAGTACAGTACTGCATATACTCAATAAAATTACTCTTCCAGTGATTTAAGCTCTTAATTAGGATAATATATTGGCTAATGTTTCAATTTAAAGGACAATTCCATTTCAGACTCAGCTCATCTGAAATGTACTTTAAAGACACTTCAGAGGACTGGTTGTGGCTTAGTGGTAGAATGCTTGCCTAGCATGCAAAGTCCTGGATTCAATTCCTCAGTGCCACATAAACACAAAAAACTGTGGCTCAAGTGATAGAGTGCTAACCTTGACCAAAAAAAGCTCTGGGGACAATGCCCAGGCCCTGAGTTCAGGCCCCAGGACTAGGCAAAAAAAAAAAAAAAAAAGTATACAGATATTGGCATGTGTATAAAAAACATAGAGAAAGTGATTTCAGCCAGATGCCAGTGGCTATTAGAACTCAAGAGGCTTAAATCTGAGGATCAAGGTTCAAAGCAAAGTCTCTGGGATAAAATTCCAAGAGACTCTTATCTCCAATTAACTAGCAGAAAGTTAGAAGTAGAGATGGTGTTTTAAGTGTTAGAGCACCAGCCTTCAGTGACAAAGCCAAGCACAGGTTCTGAATTCAAGTCCCACTACTCGTACCAAAAAGAGAGAGAGAAAGAGAAAGAAAGAGGGGGGGGAGGGCGGGAGGGAGAAGGGGAGAGAGAAAGACAGAAGCTGATTTCACAAGTTATTTATTTACATGAGGAAGAAAAAGGGAGAGTAATTTCACTGTATTTGGGGGAAGATCTGTTGCTAATTCACCTGTTAGAGGAGCTCCATGAAAAGACTGAGACCCTTGATATCCATCAGGCACTGAATCTGGTCCATAATTCTCTGTGGGCCAACGATGAGGAGATGCCGAATTACTGCTATTTAGTTTCAATTCCTGCATTTCTTTCTGTTGGAACAACAAAATAATATTAAACATTTAATAACATATCAGAAACAGTATCGGAGAAAATAAAACTATTTCTCTATTCCTTAGTAGCATCTAGCAATGTTATTCACCAATTCTTTAAAAGACAGAGAGGCAGAGAGGCAGAGACAGAGACACAGAGAGAGACAGAGAAAGACAAAGAGAAGGAGAGGGAGAGAGAAAGGGAAAGGTAGTTGTGTCTGGTGGTGTGGTCAGAGGTGGTGGTTATTCACCAATTCTAACCTAAAAACTAGATAGCTCCTAAAATCTCATCTCCATTTCCACTCTATACTTGCTTAATCTTTATTAGTCATTAATGGTATCTTGTCAATAGCTTTGAATCTGTAATCTGGGCTATAATCATAATTTTAAAGATTCAAACTGAAAAATGTTGTAAAATTTTACCTCAGGGGCTGGGAATGTGGCTTAGTGCTAGATTGCTTGCCTAGCATGCATGAAGCCCTGAGTTTGATTCCTCAGTGTCACATAAACAGAAAAAAGCTGGAAGTGGCACTATAGCTCAAGTGGTAGAGCACTTGCCTTGAGCAAAAGAAGCTCAAGAACAGTGCCCAGGCCGTGGGTTCAAGCCCCAAAACTGGCAAAAAAAAAAAAAATTGACTTCAAATTTTCTTACTTTATAGATAACAAGAAAGAAGAAAAGAGTTGCTAAGCTTGTCCACAATTCCACTGTGGGAAAGAGAAACACTGTGCCAAGCACAATTCACTTTAACTACATACTATATAAAAGATTTTGGTCGGGGGGAAAAAAAAGAAAAGAAAAATAAAAAAACAACTGGAACAAAATCATTAATCAGGGATGAAATCCATAATAGCTCCAGGCTTTCAAGGCTCATTTACATCTCTAAAACCTATATGCTAAGTACTTAGGCAATATTACAGGTTACACAAAGTGAGCATATAAATCTATTATAAATTCAAAAGTTCATCAAAATATATTTTTAGCCATACACTGCTGAATTCACCATAGTAATCACCACAAACCAGAATTTCCTTGGTATAACTTCAGAAGTATGAGTAATTTAGTTCTTGACAATGAACATGAAAACATATCTATTCGTACTTCCAATTCCAAAGAAAGGCCCTGAAAGTGCTACAGTATAAAAGTTATATATACAAGACTAATTTTCTTACATAATTAAAATTCAGACAAAATCATTTTAAGAAATTGAAACAATAAACTTTTGAAGGTTAGAACATTTTTCAATTCCTAGACATAAATTTAATACTTCACCCACAGCCACGCTAAGAATAAGGTACAATTAGTATATTTCAATATTTTAATTCAATCTCTTGAGAATCTCCTGAGGTGTTCTGGGTAAAAATATTTTTGAAGAACTCACATTTGGGAGGAGGCAAACATAAGAGATAATTCCAAAAATATGGTAAAGGTGAAAAGAAATGTATGAAAAACATGGCATGATCATTCTTATATTGATAGCAAGGGATAAATTAACCACCTTTAAGAAAGTAAGGAAGTGCTAAGGGAACAATCTTTGAATAAGAATATTCAATAAAGTGGCTTACCTTAATGGCTTCTACTTGTTGGCAAATCATTTTTAGTAAAGAATTTTGATCTTCTGCCCATCGGGGTGGTGTTTTGGGAGAATACTAAAAATGTAACAATAATAAAACAGTACTTAAGACATTTAGAAAAAAATACATTCTATAATGTACCAATTCATTTTTTTTGTTTTTTGCCAGTACTGGGGCTTGAACTCAAGGCCTGGGCACCATCCCTGAATTGCAACTCCACTTTTTGCATGTTAATTAGGGAGTCTAACGGACTTTACTACCCAGGCTCGCATGAAACTCAAGATCGTCAGATCTCAACCTCCTGAATAGCTACGATTATACCCATGAGCTACTGGCACTCAATTCTGATTCATCTGTTTCCAACTTACTTTGTAACTTTTACTTGGTGACAGAGAATACTTGGTAGGAGATGGTGTAGAATGTTTAATTTCTAAATCTGTATTTCGTAAACAACCATTTTTATAAAGAGGACCTCCTTCACTATAGTCTTCAAGTTCCTGCATGACCGAGTTAAGCATCTCTTTAACAGACTCCAAGGGCACAGGCAACTAAAAACAAAAGGCATTAGTCAAAGGTTTTAGTTTGTAAAATTTAAGAATCCAAAATAAATACAATGATTCTATTTTAATAATTGGTTTGCATTTTCTTTGCTTTTTTTGTTCTTTTCGGAAACAGCCATGTAGCTCAAGCTGGCCTTAAAACTCTCAGTCCTTCCAATTCAGCCTCCTAGTGCTGTGCTGGTATTAAAGCAGTATACCACACGCAGCTACATTTTCTAGTTTATGTACCTGCCAGTACTAAGACGAACTCAGGGCCTCACTCTCTCACTTAGCTTTTTCACTCAAGGCTGGCACTCTCACCATCTGAGTCAGTTTCACTTCTGGCTTTTTGCTTGCTAACTAGAGATGAGTGTCTCTCATTTTTTTCTCCCTAAGTTGGCTTCGAATCTCCATCCTCATTTCAACCTCCCGAGCAGCTAGGATTACAAGTGTGTGCCACCAGCACCAAGCTATTTTCTTAGACATTCCTAGAGAATATACCGTGTATAGTTGAGTAAGCAACTGCATAAGATCTTTGTGAAATGAGAATAAATTAGTATTCAAATTACTCCCACCACTTATATTACCATACCCAAACTTGTTTCTTCTTTCTTCTATTGTGATAGCCTCCTCTTTCTATATCTGAATTGGATTTCTCCCTGAAATACTTTACTTTAAAAAATACATGTAAACTATGTATACTCTAGTCTTCTGACTCTAAAATCAATGTTGCTTCTGTAAACCTTAACAGTAGAGGTATATAAACCTGACATGCTTTTCCACATGAGCAAATTATTAAGTTTTCTAAGTGTTTTTTTGTTGTGGTACTGGTGGTGGTTTGGCTTGCTTTTTAACTCAGGACTTCCTGCTTCATAGGAAGGCATCCTACCATCTCAACCATACTTCCAGCCCTCTAAATGATTTTGGCTATAAGAAAAAACTGTATGTCTACTTCAGAAACATTTTCTAATTCTTCAAGTATTTTTGTAAGAAACACATTACCAAGTATGAAAACAAATCAAACCTAAGACAATGTAGTTTTATTTTTTTATTTATTTTTTTTTGCCAGTCATGGGGCTTGAACTCTGGGCCTGGGCGCTGTCCCTCAGCTCTTCAGCTCATGGCTAGCGCTCTACCACTTGAGCCACAGCGCCACTTCTGGCCTTTTCTGCTTATGTGGTGCTGAGGAATCGAACCCAGGGCCTCATTCATGCGAGGCAAGCACTCTACCACTGAGCCACCTTCCCAGCCCAGACAATGTAGTTTTATACTCTTTCTCACTCTCTCCTCTATACCTCTCCTAATAAGGCATTGCTAAATAATAAATCTGTTACCAGTTACCAACAATACTATATACAACAACCAGCCAACTTACTTTCTGGACTACTGAAAGATTTGAATCACTATCATCTAAAATCTTTATTAGGTAGTCTCTGGTCTTTCTCAGATAATTTTTGCACTCTTCTTGTTCTTCGGGAGAAAGGGCATCATTTTCAATGTCTTCTGCTTTCCTGTGAAAAATCTATACAAAGACAGCTTTTATCAGTGCGATTTTCAAAACAAAACTTTTCTGGGGTGTATGTATGTCAATACGAGGGGCTCAAGGCTGTAAGTCCTTGCTTGACTTATTTGCTCAGGCAGGTCCGGAGCTCTACCACTTGAGCCATGTGTCTAGTCTAGCATTTTGCTGGTTAACTAGAAATATTCAAATACTTTCAGCTGGGCTGGCTTTAAATCATGATCCTCCAGGTCTTAGCTTTCCAAGTAGCCAAGATTACAAGTGTGTGCCATTGGTACCCACACATGAAACATTCTTAATTCAAGTACAACATCCACTTACCAGTGCAAGATTCCAGTAAGAAACAACATTTTTAATAGATTCAAAAGTGGTCATAGCATCCTCTACATTTCCATTAACCGCATCCAGTATAGCGAAAGTTATATGTGCATCTTCTTCATATTCATCAATTTCAGATGCCTAAAATATATTAGTGATTTTTACTCAAAGTGATTTAAATCTAAATGACTAAGTTTCAATTAATCTAAAAAGATTAATATTTCATTACTCTTTTCTGTTATATTTGTGTCATTTAAGGGATGTAGTGATGCAACTTATTTAACCTGTTAACATCTCTTCTTTGTTTATAAACTGTACATGCAGATAATTCATGAAGGGTTTTTCATTACCTGAATGTCTGCACAATGGAAATGTTTAAACAGAGGATCAGTAGGTTCAGGAATACTGTTCTTCTTTTTGATTATCTTTAATAATGGTAAAACTTTCTTCCAATAATGAACACTCCTGCCTATATATTCCCGTTGATCATAGAAAGAATTAAGACTGCTACCCTAAAATAGAAAGTTAGAAGCATACAAGCTTAAGGGACACATATAATAAGATTTAAATTTTTCACTCACAAATATTAAGAACTAGTTAAAATTTTAAGTTAAAACTAAATGGACTCTCAAGTCATTTGTTTGATTAGCTACATACTGGAGTTGCCATTTTCAGACAACCAAAATCTGCCTCTCTGAAACAATTTAGCCAAAGAGATTTAATTAGTTATATCAAATGCTTTTTGTCTCATAAACATGATCTGGGACTCCCCTTCAAAGAGTTATGCTATATAACATGTCAATTTTGCAGGCTGGACAATAATAGTAATAGTAATCACTTGAGATTATTCCTGAGTATTTTTTTCCTTTTGTCATTCCTCAGGCAGGATTTTCAGTTTTTGCTGAGAAGCCAGCTTCAGATAGAGATCCTATCTATATCTCCCTCAGAGCTGAGATGACAGGTATGAGTCACCATGCCTTGCTTTTTGGATTGAGAAAGGGTCTATTTTTTGCAGGAACTAGCCTTAAACTACTACCCTCCCAATTTGTACCTCCCACATAGCTGCGATTACAAATGTAAACCATGATGCCAAAATAACTTTATGGTTATTAAATATTAAGCGCTTGTTCTTTTAAAAACTGATTCTACTTTATAATGAACTTACCGTTTTCTGAAGGCATTTTGCCCAGTATACAAGCAAAGCAGGTTGAAGGCCATGTTTCTCCTGTCCCCTTAGAGTATTTATTTCATGCTGAACCAGAAGTCGCAATTTTGCTGAAGTTCCGGGTCTAAAAACAGTATTAATCAAATTGCTTTAAGGACACAGTTTAACACCTACATGTAACTGTCAACATGACAAATCAAATCTTCACAAGAGTTAAATCTCTGAAAAAACAAGGCTGTAAGTCAAAGAAGGGTTGTTTGTTCTTTAATCTTGGCAATGCTGGGATTTTGAACTAAAGGCCTCATGCTCAGCTATCAGGCTCCCTCTTGAGCTGTGCCCCTAAGGAGGCAGCCTGATATATTTCTTTAAAAGTTGACATTTTCAGACAGGCAAAATCTGCCTTTCTGAAAGGATCAATTTGGTCAAAGAGCTAATCATCTAAATCTCATTTTACCATAGAAAAGACCATGAAGATCCATAAAACTTATGTTACCTAAACTGTAAATTTTCCAAGCAGGACAATTAGTACAATTAAGTAATAGCAGTAACATTCAGTGTGCAAAATTCTGTCCCTCTAAGCATCCTTACTCTTTTACATGTGAGGCATTTTTCATATAAGGTCCTCTATTTTTTTGATCAGGCTGGACACAGACCATGATCCTACCTTTGCATCTCAAGTTGCTGGGATTACAATGTACCACCATGTCTGGTCATCCTTTAAGATAGAATAAGGTTTGTTTGCCCTGGCTGGCCTTGAATCTTAATATTATTATTGCTGCTTCCCGTATAGATAGAATAAGTGCAAGCTACAACACAACCTGAAGAAGTTATCTTTTATTTTACTACTTACATTGCTTTCCTGTGAATTAGAGTACAAACTGCATCCCACCAGGATTTCTGTCGTTCTGTACAAAGCTGTTTGCACACTGGGAGTGGCAAACACAGTGGCTGATAGGAGCTATGATGAGAATTACACTTCTCCTTTAACTGCAAATGACTAGTGTATATTACTCCAAGTAAAAATACCTATTTAAAGAAAATTTTAAGTTAGGAAACAAAATTAAACAAAACTGAAAATAACTAATTTGTTACAATTTTTGCTTACTTCAAGATCTAAAATACATATTGATTCAGGTGCATTAGTTTCAAGCCTTGAGGTTTCCTGGGGCAAATGATGAAAAAGCTGTTTTAGCCATTTTCGAATTGCAGGTAAGGTAGGCAGTGAATTCCACTGTAAGCCAAGCCAAGTAAGGTGCTGAAGACTACCATTATGTGCTCTAATGGCACCTGAAAACAAAAATAGGGAAGAAAAGCACAGTACAGGTTTGAGAAATTTTCTTTGTACCATTAGTTTGGCCAAAAGAAAATACTTTAAAACACATTAAATGAATCTTTACATTGTTTAGTTACATATATATGTAAGTATATGTATATAAACATGCATATATACAAACACATGTAAATATATGCTGTATCAGAGCTAAGGGAAATATTAAAATAAGCAAAGTCTCAAATTTTTATTAAATGTATTCACACTTTACAGCTAGGGCTTTTAATAAAACCAGCTACAGTCAAGAATTTTTTTGGGGGTATGGGGGGGACTGAGAAGGTGGCTCAATGGTAGAGTGTTTTGCCTTGCATGTATGAGGCCCTAGGTTAAATTCCTCAGCACCACATAAGCAGAAAAGGCCAGAAGTGGCGCTGTGGTTCCAGTGGTACAGTGCTGGCCTTGAGCTGAAGAGCTGAGGGACAGCGCCCAGGCCCAGAGTTCAGGCCCCACGACCGACAAAAAAAAAAATTTTTTTCCTAGCCAGGTACCTATGGCTCATGCCTATAATCCTAACTACTCAGGAGGCTGAGACCTATGGGCTGTGGTTCAAATTAATCACCAAAAAAATTATCCCCCAGAATTACAGCTGTAGCTCAAGTGGTAGCCTAAAAGCACAGGAACATTGTCCAGGCCCTGAGTGTAGGATGGACAACAAATAAAAAAATAATAATAAAAAGTTATTTTTCAGTCCATTTTAAGAAGTGAGACTCAACAGGAATCAACAAATCTGATGGGGACCAAAGAATGTACACCTAGTAAAAAATATTAAAATAATGAATTTTCCTCAAAAAAAGTAATCAAAACAACAGAATATCACTCTACTAATCCATTAGTAAAGAGATCTACTAAAATCCAATACTGAAAAGCTTATGAGCTTCCAAAAACAGAAACTTTAAAGAGTATATATTAAAATATTTATATTAAAATTCATATTTATATTCAATTTAGTTATATGTATTAAAATATATATTAACAGTCGTGCAAGGCACCAGTGACCCATGTGTGTGATCCGGGCTACTTAGGAAGCTGAGATCTAAAGTTCAACACCAACCAGATAGAAAAGTCCAAGAGATTCCATCTCCAATTTACCAACAAAAGCTAGACTGGAGACATGATTCCAATGGTAAAGATAAAGCCATGAACAAGCAAATGGATTAAGTGTAAGTATTAAGTTCAAACTCTCTAATCACCTAGATAGAAATCAGCAAAGTATTATTCTAAGAGTAAGAAGACTTAGATACTCAACAACAGTAAGCAAATTATGGATGATCCATAAGAGTTATGTTGCACTAAAATTTATTTACCTATTTAATGTTTGTGCCAGTACTGTTAACTTGAACTCAGAGCTTCACCATTTTGCTTAGTTTTTTTACTCAGGTTGGCGTTCTACCATTTGAACCACAGCTCCACTTCTGGCTTTTTGATGGTTAGTTAGAGGTCAGAGTCTCACAGATTCTCCTGCCCAGGCTGGTTTCAAATCTTGATCCTTAGGAGATCAGCCTCCTGGGTACCTAGGATTATTTGTGTGAGCCACCCATGCCTGGTTTATTAGTTTCAAAATATACTATGGGAGAGTAATTCATGTAAATAGTAATATATAGTATAAAGAAAAATATGTGCTATCTACACCCATACTCTCAAACCCTCTCCATAAACACACTCCTCAAAAAGCTCCAAAAAGGAATACAGGAAAATTTTAATCAATACTTCTAGGTAGTGAGCTTATGGGCAATTTATTTTTCTTCTAACATAAAAGAGAATTAAGATGCAGAGTATTTCCTTTGGAAGATTCAACTTACCAATATCATATCTAGCCAAGTCATCGGGCTCTGGTGCTTGTACATCAATGTTTCCAATATCATCACTACCAAGGAAAGAATTATCCTTAAGTGACTGACTAGAAAACAAAGCATCATACAGAGCAGACTGGCCACTTTTGTTGGCAAAAGATTCCACAACTTCCTTTAAAAAATCTTGCTTGCCACGACTTAAGTTTAGTAACATGTGCCCTGAAAAATAAATGAAGTTATTTTTATCATTTTATGGTGAAGTACAGGTTGTATTTACTAACATTTCAACTGTTTCAACAATTAAACAAGAAGGAAATAATATGATTAACTCAGACCTTACCTCCCAGAATACAAAAAAAAAAATTTTAAAGAAAAATCACACCTGAAAAAGGATGTTTAGATAGAAAATAAATGCAGTACAGGTTTAACAGTATCTCTACTAAAAGTTAAAGAGAAATGATATAATGTATATGTAAAATACCCTAAGTATTTGCATTTCACAAGGAAAAATACGGGACTTAAGTGGCCTTTTGGACAACAGTGGGGCTAAGTTCTACTTCTCTGATGTTACACACTAATTTTTTAAACACAGATTAGAGTCCTCCTTTATGAAGCTTTTATTTCTGGGCTTCAGAAATAAAACTTATTCCCTAAGATTGGAGTGAAGAATCTACTTTAAAACACTCCTTGGGTAAAGTATCACTGCATGTTACAGCAGATGAACCTAGAAATATGCTAAGGAAATGAAACAAGTCACAAAAGAACTTAAGTATATGATTCCATTTATGTGAAATATTCAGAATAGACAAAGAGATGCAAGTAGACTGGTGATTGCATGAGTCTGAGGAGATTACAAAAAATTGCACATAACTGCTAATACCAATTAGCATTGGAACTTCACTATGGGGTGATGAAAATGTTCTTAATTTGTGATAGTAACTGATAAATAGGTGAAATGAACTATGTGAAATGTTAATTACATCTCAAGCTGTTCATGATAAAGAAATTTTCTTTTTTAAATTAAATCAGTTAAACATTACTATTACCTGATTGGCTCAGGCGATCATAGGCCATCATTTCCAGTAGATTTTGTCCAGCTTCTCCTTTTATTAATTTAACCTTTGGTCTTGGAACCTGGTAATTTTAAATTAAATCCTTAATTCAGAGGTATCCACATTCCTACAACTGTGATGGTCCTTTCTATTACATTTTTGCTAATGAATAGTTAAGTAATGATCAAACTTAATTAGAAAACAGTGCAAAAAACTGGAAAACAAGTAATAATAATCTATAAAAGAGTCATTACAAAGAATGCTTGGGAAAAAAATTACTTTCTAAAAAAGTACATTTAAATTACATTGGGCACCAATGGCTTACACCTATAATTCTATCTACTCAAAAAGATGAAATCTAGAGGACCAAAGTTTGAAGCCAGATCAGGCAACATCTCAAAAAAAAAAAAGAAAAAGAAAAAAGGCCCAAAACATCAAACTGGAAGCCAGAGATGTAGCTCAAATGGTCGAACACCAGCAAAGTAAATAAGCCAAGTAAGTGAGAGGCCTTGAGTTCAAACTCTGGCATTGCAAAAAATTTCATTTGGGAAAATGGAGAATTTATTTACATTACTTCTCTACCTTGCATAAACTACAGCAGGAAAGATAACACTAGTGAGCAGCCCTAGTAAAACCTTATCTGGAAATAACACTGTAGGAGAGGGCACAGTTTCAAAGTATATGGATGACTGGGGAAATTAATAGAATAAAGAAGCACAACCAAGACATTATATGGACATTAAAGCATATCCTATGAAGCTGAATGGTGAATAAGTAGAATGGTGAAGAACATGTCATCTGCTTTCAAGTATTAAGAAAATTATCTTGTAGGTAACAGATGTAAGAATATTTTTTTGTTTTTTTTTTTTTTGGGTCCGGTCGTGGGGCCTGAACTCAGGGTCTGGGCGCTGTCCCTCAGCTCTTCAGCTCAAGGCTAGCGTTCTACTACTTGAGCCACAGCACTACTTCCAGCTTTTTTCTCTTTTTTTTTGCTTATGTGGTGCTGAGGAATCGGACCCAGGGCCTCATGAATGCAAGGCAAGCGCTCTACCACTGAGCCACCTTCCCAGCCCCACAATATTTTTACACTATATATAGCACAAAGAATTAAATAGTCGAAGGCACTCTACTTTCTTAAAAAGAAGAGACTACTCATTGAAAATATTCAGTATCAGGCAGTGACTTAACAAGAAATAGTAGAAGATATCCTAAGATAGTCAAATTCCTCATTATTTTTCCTTTTTTTCTGTGTTGGTCCTGAGGCTTGAACTGGATGCTGTCACTAAGCTTTCATGCTCAAGACTAGCACTCTCTGCCACTTGAGCAATAGCTCCACTTCTGGATTTGGGGAGGGTAATTAGAGATTAGAGTCTCATAGACTTTCACGCCCAGGCTGTCTTTGAACCAAAAGTCTCAAATCTCAACCTCTTGCATAGCTAGGAATATAGGCATGAGTCCCTAGTGCCCAGTTTACTTTCCTTTTTTGTAATACTGCAATGGACCCCAGATTTCAATCATGCTAAGCATGAGTTCTACCATTAAGGTATAGCACAGGCTCCTCTTACATCTTTCTTTTTTTGGGGGGAGGGGGGGTCCGGTAGTGGGGCCTGAACTCTGGGCCTGAGCGCTGTCCCTCAGCTCTTCAGCTCAAGGCTAGTGCTCTACCACTTGAACCACAGCGCCACTTCCAGCTTTTTTCTTTTTGTTTATGTGGTGCTGTGGAATCAAACCCAGGGCCTCTGGCATGCAAGGCAAGCGCTCTACCACTGAGCCACCTTCCCAGCTCTCTTACATCTTTCTTAACTTCAGTGGAAACATAATGTGGTACAATCATTGTTAAGGTTAGAAACCTGGCAAGAGCTCTAAAATTTATGAGACATGCTGATCTTGTAATTTATTCTACCTATATGGCTGATATATGCTACTGCCTAAGTAGCATAGCAAAAAAAGATAGCAGGAAGCAAAGGTAAGAGAACTGTAGTCCATGGCTGGCCCCAAATTAAAAACACAAGCTCCTATCCAAAAAATAAGAGCAAAAAGAGCTGAGCTGGGGGTGTGGTTCAAACCCCTGTAAGAATCAAAGAAATTTTGGTTGTGACAATCCTACCATAATTGACTTTGACATTACTCCTGAAATACCATAATGCTGCCAAATTCCCTTTTGTGATTACAATCATGTTAATACCCAATGGTAAAAATTTTTTTCTTTTTTTAAATTGTGAAAATACTGTACAGAGGGGTTACAATTACATGGGCAAGGTAATGAGTACATTTCTTATCAAGCATTGTTATCTCCTGTTTCCCCTTCCCATACCTTCCCATCTCCTCTCTTCAGCCTTGAGCTGAAGAGCTGAGGGACAGCGCCCAGGCCGAGAGTTCAGGCCCCACAACCGGAACCCCCCCCAAAAAAAGAAATGTACTCATTATCTTACCCATATAATTGTAACCCCTCTGTACAGTATTTTCACAATAAATAAATATAAATAAATCTGTGTGATCTGTTAAATGTTTTCCTGTCCTTATTTTATGAAAATCTGTCTCTCAAAAAAGCAAATAGTATGTATCAAAACAAGGTAAAAGTTAGGGCAACGCTTTCAAACCCAAATGGGGATGCTGTATGTTTAACTGAAATAATAAAATAAGGTTATTACATCTGCTGAAAAGCAGGCAGAATGTCATTAACAGAAACAGTGTCGCTATGGGAAAAATAAATCAAGTATCTACAATACATTTTAGAACTCTGTAATTTTAAGTATCTATGTTATTTCTTCACAGCCATCTCCTTAGAACACTATACCTACAGATATCAAGGGCCTACTGTAATATGAACCAGAAGGAGGATGCAACTCTAGTAATGAATTATTTTCTTTTCCTTTCCTCTCTCAAGGGAAAAAAATCATTTTTTAAAGCTAACAATATTTTTTTTGTTGCTGTCAGCCGTGGAGCTTGAACCCAAGCCCTGGGCATTGTCGTTGAGCTCTGTAACTCAAGGTAAGCACTCTACTACTTTGAGCTTGAGCTCCATATCCAGTTTTCTGGTGGTTAATTGAAGATAAAAGTTTCATGGATTTTCCTGCCTGGGCTGGCTTTGAACTGCAATTCTCAGATTTCAGCCTCCTGAACAGTTAAGATTACTAGCATGAGCCACCAATGCCAAGATTACCTTAAACTCAGAAGCCCACACAATAGGCCATTCAGGAGTATTACAAAGCTCACAGAAACTTTTTTTTTTTTGGGGGGGGGGTCCAGTCGTAGGGCCTGAACTCTGGGCCTGGGCACTGTCCCTCAGCTCTTCAGCTCAAGGATAGTGCTCTACCACTTGAGCCACAGCACCACTTCCGGCTTTTTTCATTTTGCTTATGTGGTGCTGAGGAATCTAACCCAGGGCCTCATGCATGCAAGGCAAGCGCTCTACCACTGAGCCACGTTCCCAGCCCCACAGAAACTTATTTTTAACTTTAATTCTTAAGTTTGCTCACATATCTTCATTACTACTAAGGCAAACCTCTATGAGAAATACAGTGCCTTATTGAAATGTCAATTGTACCCAGAATTGAGAAAGGCTTACCTGAAAGGCTATGAGATAGCACAATGCAGCCAGCTCACAGAGAGCTCGCCACTGGACATCACTATGCTGACCCATCTTCAAAAGTAAAGAACCAGCATGCATGTAGAAATGTCCTTTCATTTCTATGAAAGTAGCTGACAGTTCATCATTCCCACCCACAGAAGCTTTCACAGACTGAAGAGCACCATCAAAACTGTAATATTAAAATATTAAACAGGTAGTTCATATATACTACATTGAGAATAATCACTGATTATTTCAGAATGAAAAGTTTCCAGCTTCATCATGTACACGTAAACTAAGATTAATTTACTTAGTTTGCTATTTTGTAGATAAAACATATGAACTACTCAGTACTTACTTTTAATCCTGTATACTCCCTACACTTCAAACTTTATCTCTACAATGACATTTTACTACAGAACATTTTTTTTCTGCCTTATATAGAAAAGGCTGAGTAAGATTACTGGTACTAGGTGAATATTTCATAATAAACCAGAATAAAATAAAGATATTATTTTATTTCTTCGTGATGTATATATATATGGCTTCATTCTTTACACGTGCCATTTCAAAAATTACTGTTAATAACTGACAGGCATTTGGCTATCAAGAATATAACTGTTCTTTTTCCCTTATAGAGCTACAGAGTCAAACTATGTATTTCTTACTATTGTATACAATCTATATTCTAATTATTTCTAAATTCCAATGATCCTCAGAATCTTCACTTTGTAAGAAAAGCAAAAATAAACAAGTATAAATATGATTATCAAGTAGCTTACAATACTTGAAAACAACAGATTTGTTTAACGAACAAAATTTGGTGATTTCTCCAAAGTCTGAGACCTCTTTAGGGGATCCATAGTTAAATTTATTTTATAATAATAATATGGAATTTTTCATCTTTTTCTTGCTTATATCTAGCTTATATCTAGCTGCATTTTCTGGAGACTTCATGATTAACAGACTGAGTGGCAAAATTAATGAAAATCTAGAAGCATTCAAATAAGCTAGGCATTAAAAAGATTATGAAAACACAAAACAATGCCACTCTTCTAATTTTTTGTAACATATCTTTCAATATAACTATTGTCATGGTTTACATTACTTAATGAATCAAGTATTTTTCTCTGCTTTAATTTCTACTATAATAGTACTAATTAACACCCTCCCAAAGATCTTGGTGAGTCCTCAAAAGATCCAATAGTCTTTTAGTTACAAAATCAGGCACCTTTGGCCCATAAACTCTTACCAGCCCTTATTCTAACAATATATACTACTAACAAATCCAAGTGATATTTTTATTGGATACAATTTTCATAAAATACAGAGACTGGCTCCCAAAATTAAAGTTGCAGAAAAAAGAAAGCTTATTATATTTGAGTTACTTTGTTTCCAAATCAAAACTGTTTTCTGAAACAGTAGTGATGGTAAGCAAATATATTACTAGAGTCAAATTTAGCCAACTGACTAGATATGAACAACTTAGTACCTGATTTTTCACTCAAGATTACCCTTTTAAAAAAGTAAGAAAGTAAAAAGCAGTAGCAGAATAGCAATTAGAATACTCACTTTCAATTTATTTCTTCATTAGTCATGCCAAAACCAAATATTTAACTATTAGGCTAACTTCACCCAAAACTACTTTAACATCCCCATGAAAGAAGATCCAATTTCCTCTAAATGTTTCATTATATTGATAATTCTTGGGTACATAATTGAAATAATGACTGACAAAGCAATTACTGTAAAAGGAAAATTCCCTTTTTGTCAACATACCTTTCTAATAATTCTCTACTCTCCTGCACATCTCTTGTGGAAAGTGTTAGAAGAGTAAGGTTAGCATAGGCCAGAAGTAAGTCTTTATTTGTTGCTCGCCAGTTACTTTTATCAGACTCCAAACATTGTAAAGACTCCAGATATTCCTATTTTGAAGAAAAAAAAAATAGTAAGTTACAAAACTTACCACATTTTAAGAAATTGTCTATTGTATGCCTTCAAATTTCTTGGCCTATTCCAAGTACACTTGAAATTATATTGGTTTTTACTAGCCTTATAAATAAAAATTAAAGAATACATATTTGTCAAAGTAGAAACCAGTGGCAAACACTTATAATCCTAGCTACTAGGAGGCTAAGATCTGAGGATCATGGCTCAATGCCTGTGAGACTCTTTATCTCCGATTAAAAACACCAAAAAGAAGTGGAGAAGTAGAGCTGTGGCTCAACTACTGGTAGAGTTAAACTTGAGCACAAAATATGAGGGACAGCACCCTGACACTGAGTTCCAGCCCTAGGACTGGCACAAAAAAAAAAGTATCTATCATATGTATTTATATATATCCCCAATATATGCATTGTAAGTTTAAATGATCCTGGTTAAAATTTAACTTTATAGCTGTTCCACATAAATGAAAGAAATTTAAGTGTTGAAGAGTACTTTTAACTACAAAAAGATAGTCTATATAGATTATAGAGTTCAAACAGCTGTCACTTACCTTAAGAGCGTGTACAACACATGAATTCCATTCTAAACTGGAACGCAAAGCTATGTTTTTCTCTGCCTCATGGCAGTGGGCTACAGCATCCTTCAATCTCTTATTTGAACGATATAGTTCCACTAGCCGGATATTCACATGGACATCATCGGGTCTTGCATAAAGTTCAGACTGAATCAAATCAAAAAGTTTATTCCATCCATCTTCACCTGTACAATCTAAAAGCTGTTCCTGTTTGGGAGGAAAAAATCATTAATTTATTTAATATTTGTACTTTGTTGCTTTTTTGGTGCCGTCCTGGGTCTTGAACTCAGGGTCTGGGCACTGTCCCTGAGCTTCTTTTGCTCAAGGCTAGTACTCTACCACTTGAGACACACTGCCATGTCCAGCTTTTTCTGAGTAGTTTATTGGAGATAGGAGTCTCAGGGGGCTTTGTTTCCCAAGCTGGCTTTGAATTTCAGTCCTCAGATCTTAGCCTCCTGAGTAACTAGGATTATAGGTGTGAGACACCAGTGCCTGGCACATTTGCACAATTCTAAGCAGCAGTTGCCCATGGGCAATTATTCCACTGTGACTAGCTTTAGGGAAGTATTACCAAACATACTATCCTACCTAACATTACGAACAAAGAAGCATCTAGGAATACTGTAATAGACTAGTAGCTTATATCCTCCCACAGACTACTAAACCTACACTGTCTCATGTTCTTCCTGTATACTCCAGCCACCAGACCACAAAGACTCCCAAGTCAATTTTCACTATGGAGTATCTTTAAATTATTCTGACTCTCCCTTTAATCAACTTAATCTCTCACACCTGATTCTACTATTTTACCACCTTCACCATTTTCTCTCAGCATTTTACCTCCTAACCTTGTCATGACAGCCTCTATTACCTCTACTATAAAAGTTTTCTCTTCACATACCATCACTTAGATTTTTGACACCTTTTATTCCCAATTGCTACCTCCTATTTCTCCTATTCATACTGTAAACATTTGAAGGAGCAATTGGAATTATTCATCTTCCCTAACAAATCTTACTAGTATTAGCAATTTAAAGATATACAAGTAGCTTAGCTACTCAGTTCTTTAATCACCTCATATTTAGTGACATTGTCTTTTACTCTAAACTCAGTCATCCATTTTCCATTCACACAAGTTTTCTATCAGTAGGTGTCTACAAACCCTCACTGCCACTTATATACTAGTCCACCACCAAAAGTTCCCTCCAAGCTGGGCCCCTGACCCACACCTGTAATCCTAGCTACTTGGTAGGCGGAGATTTGAGGATCAGGTCAAAGCCAGCCCAAGTAGGAAATCTGTGAAACTATAATCTCAAAAAAAAAACACTAGAAAATCAGAAGTGGCACTGTGGCTCAAGTAGTAGATCGCTAGCCTTGAGCTGAAGAGTTGACAGACAACACCCAGGCCCAGAGTTCAAGCCCCAGGACCGACCAAATAAAAAAAAAGATCCTTCCAGTATACTGACATCACCGATTTTTTATTAGCTGTTACAAACATTGTTTGCTGCCTCTCTATCAAGCTAAAATGCAATAATCCTTAATATTCATGAATACTGGCTGCTTATAAATCCCTTTACTTACCCCTACAAACAAAAGGTTGAATGACTAGGGATAATACATATGGAATTTTGGGAATCTCAACCACCAGGATGATTTCACTTTCAAACTGGTACTGCCTAAAACAAAACATTATTTCACTTCTAACCAACTCAATTTCTCCCCCAGACTTAAGTTTTTAAGCCTGTTAGGCTGGTTTCATATCTCGTGTCCCATAACTTCCTTTAACCCTCAGTATCAACTAAGGAGAACTCAACTTATCCTTCACTAGGGACACTGAAACCATCAAATTCTACACTACCTAATCATATTCATTTTCTCCCTGCTTTCTCTGCCTAGCAGAAACCAAGATCCCCACTACTGCCCTCCAAAATCTCTCTCCTTCTGTGTCATGTCCATAAACTTGTATTTGGCCTTTCCATATCTACAAAAGAAGCCCTAGCCTTTCGTTATATGTTAAAGTAGTAAATAAATACCATTATGAAATCAACTCCACAATACAAGTTTTAAAAATCCTATTAGAAGCTAGGCACTGGGGGCTCACACCTGTAATCCTAGCTACTCAAGAAGCTAAGATCTGAGGATCAGAGTTCAAAGCCATCCCAGGCAGGAAGAGACTCTCCAATTAAACACCAGAAAATCAGAAATGGAGCTGTGGCTCAAAGTGGTAAAGCACTAACCTTGAGCACAAAATCTCAGGAACAGTGCCCATGTCATATGTTGAAGTTTCATGACTGACAAAGAAATAAACAGGTGCTGGTAGCTCACATCTGTCATCCTAGCTATTCAGGAGGCTGAGATCTGGGGATCACAGTTCAAAGCCAGTCCAGGAAGGAAACTCTGTGAGACTCTTAACCTCCAATAAACTACACATAAAAAGGCAGAAATAGTGCTGTGGCTCCAGTGAAAAAGCGCTAGCCTTGACCATAAAGAAGTTCAAGAACATGGGGCTGGGAAGGTGGCTCAGTGGTAGAGCGCTTGCCTTGCATGCTCAAGACCCTGGGTTCGATTCCTCAGCACCACATAAGCAAACAGAAAAAAGCCGGAAGTGGCGCTGTGGCTCAAGTGGTAGAGCGCTAGCCTTGAGCTGAAGAGCTGAGGGACAGCGCCAAGGCCCAGAGTTCAGGCCCCAC